TTTCAATTCAAATAAACACTTGATTTCATGTAAAAGTCGTTTGTTTTCAGCCATTAATTCATCCAAAATATCATTTATACTAATATTTAATGACTTTTTATTTCTCTTCATTTTAACCATAATTTTAATACAATTTTATTTAAATATTGAATTAAACTTTAATTGAAAATATAGTGATTTAAAACACAATCAATAATCACAACAACTATTCAAATATTCATACAATAACAACAACTTTAGGGGACTGTCTCTTAATTACTAACGATTTGTTAATTTATTCAAATAAATTGAATCAAATTATATCAACAATTATTATAAACTGTTTAAATGCAAAATAAATGTCTATAAATTACACATTAATTATATATTTAATACCATAATTAAAGATTAATATTACAATAAATCAATTGCAATGTGATTTCCCTATATTACAGTTACCGTAGTATAAAAGTATTTATTTGTTTAATAATAAAGTGATTCAACAAATTGTTTGACAAACAATTAGATTAATTACTAATTATCAAAATATACTTTGTTGTTATTATCACTTGTTGTGGACGTGATTCCAGTGTATTCTTATACCAGGGAAATAACTGCACCGGTACTGACATCCGGGCCAATGACAGGCGTATGGCTTCAGGTTATTGTGTATATTCATGTGGTCTTTCAAAGTGTTGGATCCGGTGAAGCGTTTACCACATTCGGGCCAATCGCAGACATACGGCTTTTCGCCGGTATGTGTCCGCAGGTGACGACTCAAACCGGTGTTACTTTTGGCGGTAAAGTCACAGCCCGGCCACTGACAAGGTATGCAGTGTGCGGGCGGTCGCCGACGTATATAACGGGGCACAGAGTGGACGGTCTGCCGGTGTTTAACCATATACTTGTACTCGTGGAACCGTTGACCACAGCCCTCGACAGTGCATTTAATGGTCGGTTCACTCAAATGGATCCGTTTGTGTGTCTTAAGCGACATTTCATTCTTATAGCGCTTCTGACAGCCGATGAAATCGCATACAAATGGCTGACCAGTGTCTGTATGACTGTCCAAATGGCGGTCCAATCGCTGTTTGTTTGTAAATTGTTGTCCGCATTCATTGTGCGGACACTTAAAGGGTTTGTCTGTTGTGTGGACTGTCTTGAAGTGTAATCGCATTTGTTTTTCCGATTTAAACAGTTTATTACATTCGGAATAATCGCAGACAACGTCGCGACTCGAGTGGACACAACTCAAGTGACGTCTCATTGACCGGAAGTTTTTGCATACCTTCTGGCAATCGGTTCGATAGCAGGTATAGGTCTTTGTGGTCGAGTCATAACACCGGCGGTTAATCTCTTCACATCGTTCGCGACTCCTGACCGCAAACGACGGGTCGTGTGATCGCATGTGAGTCATCATTCCTCCAGAGTTTAGACACCGAAAGTCACAGACTTTGCATTCAATCGGTTTTGAGTTTGTTTTCAAAGACAATAATTGTCTGGATTTTCGTTTCAATGGTTTACGTCTTTTATTGTCTTTAATACTCTTGACGTCTGTGTCTGTCGTCGATGTCTTCCTCTCATCCGAGTCTTCATTAGTCACCACTTCATTGTCTTCTCGTTTCACTACTTTTCGTGATTTCTTTGACTTCTTATAGACTCTCTTTTGTCTCAATTTTTGTGACCCAAATGTTTGCTCCGTTTGTTTGTCACTCAATTGATCCAATCGTAGCGACAATAGTCTGAAGTGTTGTTTGTCTTCACAAT